ACCACAGAAGTATGAATATATATATATATATACGTATACACTCTGCAAGAACTGGCGAGGAATCATGCTCCTGTCGACGCACCATGCTCCAACCCACCTCTTTTATCCGGGCATGGGACCGGCTAGTAATCTAGACGAAGCAGCAGTAAAGACAGGACTCCAGGTGAACATAAACAACACGGAGGTTATGAAAATAACCAACCAACCAACAACAACAGCAGTAGCAACATCCAGCGCCAATCACCAGCGCCAACGGGAGGGATTTGAAAGATGTTACTTCATTCACTTATCTAGCTAGGGAGCATTCTCTCAACTACAGGCAGGTGGAACGGACGAGGATGTCAAATCGAGAATCAGGAAGGCGAGAAACACATTCACCAACTTGAAACCAATCTGGAAATCGTCGTCACTCAGCAACACTCAACAACAAAATTCGAATTTTCAATACAAACGTCAAGTCAGTCAGTTCTTCTATACGTAGCGATCAGAAACTTGACGGCGGGTCACAAAGAATATTTCAACAACTGTCTTCGTTATACTCAAGATCAGATGGCCGGAAAGAACAAGAACCAACAAGAAACTATGGGAACAAACAAACAAAACAAGAACTAATCGCTCAACAAATATGCAGGAGAAAGTGGAGATGGATTGGACACTCGCTGAGGAGGCCGTTGGGTGACATCGCGCGTCAGGCCATTGCTCGAGTGGGACGTCCAAGGGTGACATGGAGGAGATCGTTTGAAGAGGAGTTGAAACAGTATGGACTAACATGGATGCAAGTGAAATGTATAGCAGAAGACAGAAGCAAGTGGAGACGTGTAGTTGAAGCCCTATGTTCCACTAGGAACCCAAGGGAAAAAATAATAATAATAATACCTATATCAGCTAGTAATGCCCGTCGGGAGGGGGAGGCGATGGTTAGGCATGCGCAGCACCTTTACATACTGGATTTGTAGGTGTATATAAATGTGAAGGATATATAATATAATTCTAGACTCACCTCGTACTAAGGATAACATCATCGGTACAGTTTGAGTAACAACAACAGGTGACACTGAAGAAATTGAAGCAGCATTTGAGCTGACAACAACTGCCACGGGAGACATGACAGGTGGAAACGTGGATCGTGATGATGTTGTATTCACCACTTTCTGGGCAGTTGCAGTTTGTGATTTCTTAGCCAACTTTCCATCTGGAGAATTGCTCAAGGATATTTTTTCAGTTTTAATATTATCACTAGCCCTATTGGTATTCCTGATAAAACTTCTAACTCTTGCATCATTGAATGATTCTTCATCGACCTCTGCAAAACCATCTAAAAGATCAGCAAACTGAGAATGTGTAAGTTTGAGAAACTCCTCCACAGGTAAATATGTACAGCCTTGCTCTGTATCCCAATAATTCGCCAGATATACTTCGTTCGACTTCACGCCAAGATTTGGAGCCCAAGCAACCTTCACCTGTCGACCATTCATAGTTGATCGATCCATTTGACAAACTGCACGATGTGCTGCCCGTCGAGTGGCAAAAGTGACAAATGCACAACCTCGCGGGGGAATGAAATTACATTCAACTACCTGACCTTCAGTTATTTCGGAACAAAATGTTCGAAGTAGACTCTCTGCAATTTGTTTATGTAAATGGCCTATGAACACGGTATGCGATAAGATGCCGACATGATTTGGTTTCAGTAGAGGCAGACCAAGATGCTTTCGACGACGTTCACGGTGTTTCACAATGTCATATTCATTTGACGATGGTGATCCATGCTGAAGAAAGAAACTGTCATCTAGACGTCGACGTATAGCGGGGCTCTGCATAGGTGATTCAGTGATATAATCTTCAACAAAATTATCTGACGCATCATGTTCAATATCGGATGGATTGAGTTTATTATTATTGTGGGACTCCAGGAATCCTGATCGTGTAGAATGGCTAACCAGTCGGTCATCATATGAATCCAAACTGGAAATAAGAAAATAAAAAAGAAGACAAAAAAATTAGAACAGTAAAAGTTGGTGTTAAATGACTAACTATCCTATAAAATTCATTAGGAAGATCAGTTAAGGTGAATAGCGAAATAAAAATAATTGTGAAACTAGTAATGATAACATAAATAAGAGAGAATGTAAGGCATCCACTGTTATACCATATAAGGAGGGGACATCTGAGACACTCACTGCCTACGTAGGTTTCTCAATAAAGCAGGAATTAGGCTGGTGGTGGAATTTAAATTTACAAACTCACTCAGGTAGGACAAGCTCTGTAGGCTAAAAGATCAGGTGGACTCAATTAAACAAAATAATTTAATTTACAAAATACCCTGCAATGACTGTGAGTTAGGTCAACTACATAGGTCAAACTAGTAGATCGGGGTTAATCAGACTGCCTGTCAGAACATGAGAACTTAGCTATGGTAAGAATGGCTGAACCCACCCGAGATGATAAGTCATTTAGAAAAAAGCACTCAGCACTACATTGCACCGCATGCATGCATTAACACACAACCATACAATGGCATGGTGGGAGAGGGTTAATATTCTAAGAAGTAATCTATGTAGGTGGAGATAGAGAGAGATTGATTACTGAATCCTGACTGGTTCATCGAGTCTACACCAAACACAATACATGCAACAGAAATCACTCAATGCAAATACCAGAGTTATGGAAGATATTATCACCACCAGTCAGTCAAATCAGAGGAGGATAATAAATAATCTCAAATTGTATTCTATTTCAACTCAATTCACGTACATCACAACATTCTAACAAGTTATTTGTTATGACTATAAAAGAAACACTCGTCTTATTTCCCATCTTGTTATTGTATTTGATCAATAACACTCATATTATTGTTATTATTTCTGAATGTACATTATCCTATATTACTCATTTGTATTCAAATGTCTAATCATCAATTCCACTCATATATATAAATGAAGGAAAAAAGTTGTGTGAGTGAGTAACTTGATATGATTATGAGTGGCAATACTTTGTGCTCGAAACATGGTCGCATCAGTTAATATTACTTACTGTATAACACACACTGTGTAACAGTTTATCCAAATAAAATCTTATCCGTAATGGAGTCATACTCTACCAACACAGTGCTCAAGTTTTATACTTGTATCAAAGACACGTTAGTAGAAAATATCCTTTTCTTTTCCGGGAGCTTATCTTCAAATCTGTACAGATATAGAATGTTCTAAAAGATCCTGGAGAGATGACCGTATGGCTCAATCAGTTATAATTAATATCGAAAAAATATTAGAACAAGACATAGAAGCGAACAATATTGTTGTTTTCAATTAGATCTTCTTCAGGCTACACCCTAATTAACATAGATTTATATAAAAAGTTTTAACCAATGACGGTGATATTGTCGATAAAATAATAATAATACGACGCCCTGTTAGCCAAGTCCTAGAGATGTCTGATTCCGCCACCTACAGTGGCTAAGTGGCTAGGTGAACTCCTCAAACCGTTACACAAGAATGTGGTAAATCAGAGTGTTAAATACGATTTCGAATTCATTTCTAACGCACATGATATTAATGTGAATGGGAAGCAAATGCTATCCTTAGATGTCGCATCACTGTTCACCAGTGTACCACTTATGAAGACTGTGGAATTCATATACCAACAGATACTAGAAAAACAGTTCGATATCGGAATTCCAGTTAGTAGTCTGAAACAGTTGCTTTAAAGATGTACTATGAATGTGTACACTTCACATTCAACAGACTTTATTACAGATAAATCGGTGGTATGGTGGTGGGTGGTTCTCCATTGGGGACAATTCGGCGAAGTACAAGAATAGAGTCCCAGGATTGTAAATGTTCTAATGATCTTGTGAATCTTCCAATGACCCTGAACGCATGCTAGTCATTAGTTGAGGAAGCTTACCATTATTCTAGCGCTAAAATGAACCCTGTTCATGAGCTCAGATGCAAATTCCATCCAGATCACGTTTCCCAGTACTGCCTAGATAGTGGTGGATTGATAGGACGTACTCGGATATGCGGTTGTGGTGCTTCCATGAACCTCCAGTCATATACCCAGGTCACTGATGGATATGTATTCAGATGTACACAGTGTAGGAAGCGAATAAGTGTGCGTACTGGTGAGTGACACTCTGAATTAATTGTCTTCTAGGAACTTTCTTTGAAAAGTCGAAACTGTCTTTGACGAATATCTTGTTTCTGTCCAATTACTGGGTTTTAAAGTCCGGGGTGCGATCTACTGCGGCTCAAACAGCTAATACGTTGACGTCTACTGTGCAGTGGTTTCAATTTTGTCGAGATTTAGCCTCGTGGAAGATGAATAGTATTACTCAGGTGTTGGGAGGAGTCGGTGTAGTCGTCCATATCGATGAAACCGTTCTTATCAAGAAGAAGTACAATCGGGAGCGTGTCAGAGCGAATACCGTTTGAGTTTTAGGAATTTATGACACCCAGATTCGCAAAGGGTTTATCGAGCTGATTCCAGATAGGAGTGCTGATACACTCCTCCCTATTATTCAGCGCCTCGTCTTACCAGGCACCACCATTCATACAGATGAATGGGCAGGATACAACCGATTATCGCAACTGCGTTATATATATCATCGGGTCAACCATTCCGATGACTTCGTCGAACCCAGGACCGGTACTCATACCAATTCAATCGAAGGCATCTGGGGAAGACTGAAAAATGGAGTCAGAGCGATCAACGGATCTCAAAACGAAGTTGTTTTCAGTCACCTAGATGAATGTATGTATAGAAATTGGTTCAATTTAAAAACTGAAACCCCCCTACAAAATTGGGAGATTTTTTATCTCATATTAGAGAAAAATATCCTGTTTGATGTTTTTTTAATGCTTTTTTATGTATATATACGTAAAATTTTATGCAATAATCGTCATTTTTCCTGATTGGTCGGTTCAAGGTCACTCATGCGTTCGCATCCCTTGAGACGACGCTACTGTAGAACTTTGCCGACAATTTTCGCAGATTTCTTTCTTTCTTTCAACACTGTGGAGTTACTCCACTTAGATTGGTAATCTACACTTCTTGTTTTTACTCGATTTCGACTACGATTTCAATTTTGCCTGGGCAAATAAAATTTACGTGCGTCGGTGGCATAGCGGTTAGGACGCTCGCCGACCATGCACATGGTCCGGGGTTCGATCCCCGGCCGATGCACTCCTTTACCTCGCTAAGCCAGAAATAGTACTGGTGAAGAGGAAAAGTTGGGTATGGGGCTAGCAACCTCATCCTGTAAAATAAACACTGCTACAGAAACTTCAAGCCACTAGATTGGAGCCCTATGTTCCACTGGGGAACGTGAAAGAAAAAATAAAATTTACACATGAGAATAATTTCGAAATAAAAAAAATAAGAAAAAACAAACACCTACCGACTGTATTTACGACATCGTTGGCCAGATGAGGCATCCTCATCATCAGCATAACCACCACCTTCATAGTCTGAATTCAATCGTTTGAGATTTTCTTTCGACAGGTGATTTTGATCATCATTATGATTACGTTCGGATAAAGAAGAAGAATATTTCTCTGATGGTATCAATCCATCATCATCCACTCTAACATCCTCATGGTGGTTATACGACGCTTGACGGGAATTGTGCAGATAGTGTTTACGCGAGCCATGATAGGCATTTACATCGCGATATGTACTATCATCCATAGGCTGAAATGGAAAAACAATAACATAGTAATCATAATACAATACAATACTACAGTATACGGTGAATAGAGCAAAAAAAGCAAGTATGTTTTGTGGAGTTTATTTTATATAGGGGATGGAGAATTTCATCATGACCAGCTGACATTGGTTAGAGAACCATTGCAAAACCTGCCACAAGGAGTACTGGACAGCCATCTGTTTCGTCAGTCTAGTTTGGGACTCTTCAGCAAGCAGCACGCACCCACCCCAAGAGTTCGAACCCATGACCACGTTCTCGTTACAAGACTAGCTAGCTAGCTTGTAGACCATTGAGCCACCGGGATCCCATCCAATCATTGGGAAGTACCATCAGCCCCCGACGAAATCTCAGCTGGGTACGGACACGGCGCGCTAGTTTCGCATATGCCAGTTTACACCGTCTCTGGCTCAGTAGACGTGATATCCGGCTGAGTGGCTATCGACCAAAGGGCGTGTGTACTGCTCAACAGTCCGCTCCGTCCTTCTTTATGGCTTGCTGTGAGACCTGGCCATTGAGAGCAGAAACGTGAAAAGATTGGCTGTCTTTAATCATAGGTGTCTGTCTGCGTTCTATCTCCCAAGTGAAGTGGTATGATAAGGTGAGCAATATTGAGGTTAGGCATCGGTCGAGTGCTAGGTAGGTGGGAGGGGAAATCAATCGACAATGAGACTGTGAAATTACATCGACTGAGATGGTTAGGACATGTGTTACGTATGCGTGGCCTAGTCATCGCCTTCCTCGACAATGGGAAATGTTAGATGACATGGGATTGGTCAGGCTGGAAAAGAGCTAGCGGCGGTCAAACCAAAACATGGCACCAGTCAATGAAATCCACAACAGTTAGTCTAGGCCACGTAGGAAGGTGTAGACTGGCTTCCTGACTGGTTGGGGTCCTCGGGACGGTAAAAACCAATGAAGCCTGGAAACAATTTGTGACATGGCTCAAAATCGTTCTCAATGGCTGGCTGGCTGAAGCAGATGCACCCACTCCTTGTGACTTACTTATGATTTCCAATGAAACTGTTTTGTATTTCGTTATTACTATTCCTTTGTCTCACCACATCTCTGTGTTTACTGTCTCTCTATTATGCATTTCTCCTACTTTCTTCTCTTGCTTTGTGTGCTACATGGAGGGAGTGTGGCGACTTGAACTTTCGCACATATGTGCAAAGTTCTATGTCGAAATCCGACCGACCCGATCCAATCCCCAGTCAGCCCATGATTTCTAACATCTGCCAGTCAATTCATGCACGACACAGCTAGCGCGACCATTTCACGATGTCTTCTTCGATGATGAGTGAGTTACTGCCTCATCTTCAACCTGCCGCTGGTCGTGGCTTCCCACTAAAACCCACCCAGGTAACTACCTACCTGAATAGGGCTAGTCGCTAGCTAGTGAGCATCAGATTAATTAATTTTCAAGTATTGCTTGTTTTGTAGGGATTTTGTTTGATTGATTGCATGGAGGATTTCATTCATCATGAGCTGACATCAGCGTTAGAGAACCACCGGAAAACACAAAAACTGTCCAATAAATTAAGGCATCAATGGTGTTAACAACACCATCTATCTGCATAGCTCAATAAAAGTTGAATAAACGAAAAATTGTGTGTGTGTGTGTGCAACCCAACTTTGAGACTGTGGAATATTATCGGCTTTTATTTCAGAAAAAATGTAACAAACAGTTCTTGAAAAAAATACTAAACAACATAGAGTCTATTCTCAATCAGCTGTAGTATCTCAACCTCCATATCTCTGGAATAAGTGACAAATTAGAACTGACTGGCTAGCTGGATTCAACATAGAACTTGGCACCGAAGTGCAACAGTTCGAACTGTCACGTTCCAAATAGCACACAAAGGTAGACAAGAAGGTGGATGAGTGAAGAGAATCAATCAATAGAGTTTTGACAAGTATAAGAGTGAAACAGACAGAATGAGTAATGGTAGAAAGGAATGTGAAAGATTACACCAGAGACTGAATACATCTGCGTAAGCCATTGACAACGATTTTAAGCCATGCCACCTATTGTCTGTCTCCAGCCATTGATTCTTAGAGTCCCGACGGCTGGCCCCAACCCGGAAGTCTGCATCTCCCTACCTCACTGACTCAGTTTAACTGTCAGGGATTTCATGGATTGATGAGGCCATGTTTTTGTTTGGCATGGCACCACTTACTCTTTTCCAACCTGCACCTATATCAGCTAGTAATGCCCGTCGGGAGGGGGAGGCGATGACTAGGCATGCTCAGCACATGACCTAGCCATCTCAATCTATGTAACTTTATAGCCTAGTCGATTGATTTTCCCTCTTTGCCCGACACTCTATGCCTAACGTCAACATTAATTAACTTATTATGCCACCTAGGGTGAGAAAGATATCGTAAACATCTATGATCAAAAACAGTCATCCTTTTCATGTCTTCAACTCGTATTGATTGGCCATGTTTCAGAGCCATAGAGAAGGACGGAGCGAACTGCTGAGCACTACACACATCCCTTGGTTAATAGCCGGATGTTACGCCTACGCCAGAGAGACGGTGTGATTTAACAAAGCAGCTCGAGCTTTTTGGATCCGTGCTGAGATTTAGTCACCAGTCAATCCGTTAATGCTGATAAAACTTCCCGAATAGGTGAAGTGGTCAACATGTTCTATCACTTCACTCCCTATCACTACTAAGCTAGGAGTTGACGTAGTCCAGTCAGTCCTGTAGCAGCATCTTACATTTTACGGGGGTGAATCGCATGCCAAACATACGAAGATTGCTGCTCAAGGTTTTTTAGAAAACTCTTCATTTTGTCAGCATCCTCCTCTAACAGGACTATGTCATCTGCGTATTCTAAGTCCATAAGACTATTCCCTGGTAACAAGTCGATTTCCCTAAGTCGTTAAGTTCAGTTAAGGATACTTCCATTAGCATATCTATGATCAAGTTAAACAGAAATGGGGAAAGTGGACATCCTTAAAAATTAAAATTAAATTAGAACTGATATTAAATTATATTTACATAAAGCAATAAGCAGACGTAATTTGTCTGTCTGAATCGTGTATGCAATGTATTTGCGCAACACATTTCGAACAATCTGACCATCCCACTGGATTTACCAATTTGAATGTACGTGTAGACACACACACATACATAGGGAGGACTCATCGATCTCTGTAAGTAAGAGATGGCGGTTTCAGAGTATGTTCCTAAATGGCTCCCGAAGCAAATAGAATCTTCAGAACCGATTAATGGTGAGCAGAGACGAAGACCTAGCCCCTCTATTGCGAAACATATTATAGAGGAGACAGGACATAAAATTGATGTTTACACATCTTTAAAATCTATCTATAAAAGCGTGTTTGGGTGAGGGCGTATCCTAAAGTTTGTGGAAGCTAGCTCTAGCTGACATTAAGGAAGTTTAAACCACCTTGATGCGTTCAAAGCAGCAATTCGTCATCACACTAAACCTACCTTCCTTGTTGGTAAGCCTTGTTTTGATACCATAACAGACGTACTATTACCTCTGTAATTTGGTTTAGTCATTCATCTTCATTGTTATTTTGCCCTTCAATATGTCTTCTTTTTAACTTCACCTAAGTCATGTCAAGTCTATTTCCTCACCCACCTCTTAACTCTCTTTATTATTTCTACATATGTATGACATTCCTATGACAAGTTCCTGTGTGATCAGATTGTTCGAAATGTGTATTGCGCAAATATGCACATTACACACACGATTCAGACAGACAAATTACGTCTTCTTATTGCTTTATCTAAATTCATAAAAGGAACTAATTGTTTTAAATTAAATTAAGTATTTTTTTTCAAGTCCGAAAGATACACTTTTTTTTTTCTTTCGTTCTCTTCTTTCTTTTTGATCCTTTTTCGTTCGCTATGTGTTTGATTCTTACTCCCTCATTCTTCATTCCATTCACCCCATTTTTTTTCAGTTATAAAAACAGTTATATTAAGTTTGTTTCTATGCTTTTCCTGTTCAAATTTATAATTCGTTTAAAAAATAACTATTTTACAATTATATCTTAATCCTGAGCGATTTTTGTGTTTCTAAGGCTCTTGCAATCTATATTCACATTTCCTAACTCCTATTTCAAGTTGAAAATTATTATTTCAATTTTGTTTCCATGCTCATTTTTACACATTATAATCAAACATGGAGTATAGTGTGTGTGTTGTCAGTACTGATATAGTCGGGTGGGGGCGGCGGGGGGAAACAGAACTTCAGAATAATCCTTCCGCTTTTATTATGATAACTTACAAATTAGCGAAAACTAGCAAAAACAACAACAACAAAAAACTTGTCATAACTTAAGATAATGAATGTAAGCCAAGTAATCCGAAGCACTAAGTGGGTAAAAAAAGATGCATTATGTGCTTCAACATGAGAAACCACTAACCTCCAGGACTATATATATAGTGACGTTAGCCCAGACGATAAAGATCGGTGTTACAACACTCAAGTGAGCCAGATTTTACCAGTGACCCCCCCCCCGACCTGAAAATGTGCAGTCACTTTGTCTATTTTACAGCTGCTACTTCAGAAGAACAGCTGGCATCCACTGGGATCAGTATATATATATATATACATATATATATATATATATGCGATTTCGGGTTTTAGCGGCGTGTGCCGGGATATGGTGATCTCGTCTTTCAATAAGTGATGTGACTACAAGAATCTGGCATTGAGAATTTGTACGTAAGCTAAGACGAATACCATCTTAGAGGTTATCCTACGGTTTCACTGTTCTCCAGCTGAAAGATTGGATGGTGCACGTAGAGTACTCTCATTCCAGATGACATAGGGGGCAGCGGAAATTGGCAAAGTTCAACAAAATAGCGTCGTCCCAAGGGATGCGAACGCACACGAGTGAGTGACCTTCAGCCAACCAATCATAAAAATGAGGAACTTTTGCACACAAAAAATAACGTATATTTACAAGAAAAAGCATAAAAACATATCGGACTGGGTATCTCT